AAAATAAAAAATAAAAATAAAAAATGATAACAAAACTATTATATAATAAATTATTGTATTATTGTTATATTATTTATTTTTTTATTTCAATAAGTTATATAATTTGATATATACTGTATATATTTTAATTATATATTATGGATTTTTATAAACCTTTTTTTATATTATCTTTTATTATTACAATATGTTTATTCAAATTTGGATTTGAAATAGTTTTGTAAAAACTAATTATTTAATACAAATTATATTACTGTTATCTTTACTATAATATATTTACTTAAATTATATATTATATATATAAAGAAGTTTTTTAAGAATGTAAAGTAATTTAAGTTATTTAAATAATATCAATTATTTATTATTTATTGCTTTTTTAATATTAATTAAAAGAAAATTTAATTTTTATTATTAATTCTTAAGATTAATTTAGTACTTATATATACAATGTAATTTTAAGGAGCACAATTATAGTGTCCAAAAAATCCTTGCTCACCTTCAAAAATAATTACTTATATAATATTAAATATAATTTTAATTTTCAAAAATTTTAATTTTGACTGATTGAAACAAGATAAATATAAAATATTTTTATAATAATGTGAAAGAAAATATTTGATAATAACAAAAAAATAAAAATAATAAATATATCAATAAATATATATATATTAAACAAATTAAAGTAGATTAATTGAAAGAGTTATGGTATTTTAATAATTTTTATATTTAATTTAATATTATATATAATGCATAATTGATATCATATAATAATTATGACATCATTGCTTCCATTTCCTTGGTATCAGTTAATAAAAATTATTGCAATTAAATTTTTAAATTTAAGTTTCGCAAAGATAAACCAAAAATAGTAATTGTAACATTGTGAGACCTTCATGTACTACAAATATATTAGGTTAGACAAGCTAAGCATCTGATAATTGGGAAAATGCCTCTATCAGAAAATTCGCAATGGAAAAATAATTGGGTCAAAGAACTCGAAAACTCTATAAACGAATTGACATTAAGGCAGTTCAACTATAACGACTTTGAAAGTATTGAAATTATTGGAGGTGGTGGTTTTGGAAAAGTATATAAGGCCTTTTCAAAGAGTATCGAAAAAATCGTAGCTATTAAAAAAGTTAAAATTTTTGATGAAACTTCAGCAAATATATTTATTAAAGAGGTAATTTATTATTATATATGCAGTTTTATTACAACATATTATAATTACCTCTAATTGAAATACTGGGCATAGCTTAAATTACATAGAGATCTTGACTTCGATAACATTCTACGACTTCATGGGGTTGCTAAGAAAGGCAGAAAATATACAGACTCGCAAAAAATAGAATATATTATGGTTATCGAATATGCTGCTTTAACTCTGCGGCAATACCTTGAAGAGAACTATCAGTTTTTAAATTGGGATTACAAATTAAGTATAGCCAAACAAATTACAAGTGTGATTTTGCATTTGCATGAAAAAGATATTATACACGGGAATTTGGTTGGTAATCCAACTCAACTGTTACATTATAAAATATATTTAAAATTTAATCCGTTCTTTTCATCTTAGTGTCCTGAAAATATTTTTATCTGGCATGGAAAGGTAAAACTTGCCGATTTTGGGCTGTCTGTAAAATTAAGAGATGTGACAAATACCAAAAAAGTCAATGAACCTGTTGGAGATATACCATATATTGATTCGCAATGTTTTAAGAAAGAAAATAATAAAAGAACAAAGAAGTCAGATATTTATAGCTTAGGCGTTTTACTGTGGGAGCTTACAAGTGGATATCCGCCCTTTAGCTCGAATGGATACAGCGTAGCGTTAATTAATCAAATTTCGGAGGGTCTTAGAGAAACTAGAATGATAGACACGCCCCAAGAATATATTGATATTTATGAAGGTTAGCTCATTATTATATAAGCAAAAAATCTATTTATACTGTATATCGTTAATTATTATAATCATACTTGAATAATTAATATTCTTTAACTTTCATTAGCCTGTTGGGACGAAATTCCTAACAAGAGACCCGAAATAATTGAGGTTAAAAAACTTCTCGACTCATTAGACACGTCAATTAAATTAGAAACTTCTGAAGCTTATGAATTTCACCCGTTGAATGAATTATATCGATTAATTATTAATCATTTAAGTAAAAAAGGACTTTATTATCCAGATATAACGACCCATATTAACACATTTATTGAGAGCAATAATATGACTTCAGAACAAGCCTTTAATTTATTAATCACTTGTCAGGATACTTATAAAAATGCACTTACTATTGGGATTTTTTATGAATTTGGAATTGGAACCACTAAAGATGACGAGAAATCGTTTCAGTGGTACAAGAAATCTGCTGAAGACGGCGATCATCAGGGAGAATGTCTCCTTGGCAGGTGCTATCAAAACATGATAGGGACTACCAGAGATTTTGAAAAAGCATTTCAGTGGTATCTGAAATCTGCTGAAGGTGGTAATCATAATGGACAAAATAATGTTGGATGGTGTTATCGTCATGGACTTGGAGTCACTAAAGACGACAACAAGGCATTTCAGTGGTTGCTAAAATCAGCTGAAGGTGGAAATTCATCTGGACAATATACCATTGGATGTTTTTATCGTCGTGGAATCGGAACTATTAAAAATGAAGAGAAAGCAAAATATTGGCTTGACGAATCCAAAAGGTTGGTTCTTAATAATGTATGCATACTTTTATATCTTGTATTATATTTTTTTGTTAATAAGATTGTTTTATTTATTTATAGAAATAAAAAGCCTGTAAGTCTTTAAACTAATAAAATTTTAAATAAAATTTTATTTTTTTTTTGGTTGGAGTTGAAGCAAACTTATGCCTAATTTATATATTAGACAATTTATAAGAATAGCTCAATATTTTCGTGTTAGATCTGGCGTGAGGTAAGTGAATGTGTGTAAGTTGATCTGGTATATTTTAAATGAAAAATTAATTATTTTCTGAATAATATCTCTTTCCATTTTCATGTCATAATATATATTTTACTTTATCCTAAATCCCCTTATGTCCCTATCTTTACTCCTTATATTTCTAATATCTTGAAAATCCTAGAATGTCAATTGTCCCTCTATTATTGCATAGATTCAATTACTTCATAATTAAATATAACGTATTGTATTACATTGATAATTAATTAATATAGACTTAAAAAGATCCAAAGACTTTACATCAAACTGGTGATTTAAATTAGATCATAAAAAGCTTAAATAAAAAATTTGTATCATTTCGACATTTGAATTTCAAAATTCGGTTATTCTAATTAGTGTTTAAGTAATACGATACTTTCAAAAAGTATAGTACAAATCTAATCAAGAAAAATGTATACATACAGTATATAGCATATTAAAATTTAATGGGTGATTGATAAGTCTGTCACGAATCTAAACATAATCATTACTATTATTTTATAACAAAAGTACTTGGTGAGGCAGTATTATTTTATCGAGCTCTCTTTTTTATTAACCTTTGAAGTTTTCACCTTTTATACATTTTCAATTAATCAAAATAGATTACAAAATAATTTTTAGCACTAATGTTTTTTTAAAAATCTATTTAAATTATTATTCCAATCTTTTTAAAATCTCATGCATCGAAAGTAAAATCAATATAAAAATGTTAGAATTATCTTCAGCTTTATAGAATTTTGACATAAAAGAAAATTTTTTTCAGAAATTAATAATAAATGATAAATAAATTTTTAATTAAAATTATTTTATTGGTCTAAACCTATTTACATTTATATTTATTGGTTTAAATAATTGCTTGTAAATGATGGTAAAAATTAAAGGCATTGTTATTTTTGTCTCACATTTTATTGTATGAGGTCCGTGTAAATACTTAAAGGCTTGATATAGTTTAAAAAAGAGTTGTGATTTGGAAAGTTTGAAAGTCTGGAAAGTATTGGGACAGGGTTTTATGGCTAGTAGAAACTTGATTAGATTGTGAATTTTTTATTTTATTTATGCTTTTGATTGTCTATTCTATTATATATAATTTATGATTTCTTTATAAGTAGTGCATGGAGAAGATAATATCAGAAAATCAGAGAGATTATAGAAAGTAGAGAAGGCAACAGACATGACAGTGGGTTGCCTTTTTAACTAAATTTGTTAACTGCTGTCAGAACTACACAATAAATAAATAAAATTCCATAGCATTGCGCTACCATTAAATTTCTATATACAAAATATGTATAGTGCTCTTAATTTTTGAAAATTTCTATTAATATATTACTCTATAATCCAAATTACCTTTGAGAATATAATAATAAGAAGGATTTTTTGTTAAAGTATATAGTATGCATTTAATATTATTCATTAGTTAAAGTCAATAATAAATAGATCGTAAATAACTGCGCATGAGATCTTGATAATAGCTAGTTCATGATACTCATTTGTTTAAAGAAAAATATTCAACTTATCGAGCACCTTCCGTAAAAAAATTTTACTAATATATCAATTCATCGTAATTTTGAAATAAATTAAATTATCAAACATGCAAAAATATGTCGCTACCTACCGTAAACTTTGTTTGCTGCGCATAGTAAAAGTTTCATTTCTTTAAGCCAATAAATAAAATAATTTATTTATGTAAAACAATAACCCTACAATATTTCTCATGAAAATAAAAAATAATGATCCATTTCTCTAATACATAAGTAGATTTTCCCGTGTATACAATGCTCATATTTGCGGGAAACAATATAAATTTGGCCATTTAACCACAGTATGTAAGAGATGATCAAAATCCGATGGCTAATAATATATAATAGATAGATAACTTTGATAAGTGATGAAACATATATATATAGATTGGAAGTCAAAGAAAAAGCCCATGTTTCGGTTGAAAAATAAACTAAGTACAGTAAACAAATATGAATACTTTTTTGAATGATAATAACCTTTAATAAAGTTAACTTAAAAAATTAGACTGATAATAAACGACGCTTACCGGCGTTCAAGAACTATGAATACTCAAGGGGCGACTAGTATATAAAGCCTGTGGGTGAACTTTGACATTCGCTGAGTCATATATAGGATACTCTTGTTTCATGTATAAGAGTTTGGTTTCTTCGATTTGATAATGTAATTCGGTAGTTTCACCATAATCATAGCAAACTTTACTAGTGTTCCATTGATCATAGGCATTAACCAACTCTTTTGCAGTTGGCCTTTTACTATAGTCAGCGTCCCAACATCGATTAATCATATCAATGAGCAATGGAACAAGAGGTGATGGAATCTCAGGGCGAAGACCCGTCAAGATTTGTGATGCTAGATCTTCATCGTGAGGAATATTATGAAATGCTGGAAATCCTATCAGAATTTCCAAGGTTACGATGCCAAGTGAATAAATATCAGCCGCTTGCGTATACTTGTGACCTTTTAATATTTCGGGGGCTACATATGGAAGAACACCGTAAATTTTGGACGAAGCCTCAAGCTGCGAATACTCTGATGCTGGCTTGTTTAATCCAAGATCAGAAAGGCATAGGTTTGCTTTTCCATAACAAATTACATTGCCAGGATGTAGATTTCCATGAACTAATCCGGCTTCATGTATTTCACTTAGACATTTGGTGAGATAGAATAGGTCTTTCATCTTAGTGTGGCAATCGAACTTGTCATATGATTTCACAGTCATATCTCTGAGACTTTGGTATTCGGAATAGCTTGTGACTATAACATAATCGTTGGATACAGGGTCTCTGCTCAATCCATAAACAGGAACGGTGGCACTTGTCGCTCGAAGCTTTAGCTGATTCTGAACCTGTTGATTAATGTTAAATTAACGAAGATCAAATATTGCATTGACCAGACACGAAGTGGTATTGAAAATATATTAATATATTGTACCTCTTGTAAAAATTCCGGAGAAATATTAGCAGAATTATCGAGACGCTTCAAACAAACATTCACATTAGGAATTCTAATCAATTCCTTATTCCAGCCGATGATGTAACCTTCTGGCCATACTGCTTTAGAAACTGAGCCAAATCCCCCTTTAGATAAATATGTCACATCCTTGAACTTTTCAAAGGGGATCCATTCGATGAACGTGGTAAAACTAGTTGCTTTAAGTTGATTGCCCTGAATAAATTTGTCTACGACGTCGTTACCACTCGTCCAGTTTTCAAAGTCTTGCTGGAATCTTTTGGCATAGCAATTATTGCACCATCCGTATTCATAATATTCATTATTACATTCTTTACATGTCCTAATAAAATAAAAATGCGACAAAACTTGAACTGATAGGTAACAACAATAATATAAATCTAATAAAGCTTCATACTTACAGTCTGTAACAGAATCGGTCATATTAAGGTTATTAGGAGGAAAATCATCGAATGTAACTTAATAATGCAACATTAAACTCACTCCCTATTTAACCAACACAATAAGCGGATTAGAAAACTTTAATAACACAATAATTGATTATTGAAATATGGCATAAAGTTTTCAAAAAACTTACTCGCTAATTATTATGTGAATTTGTTAATTATTCATTACAGTATTTAACTTAATATAAATTAAACTTCAGTCTGTAGAAACCTACCTCCTGTTAATCGATTAAGACTAAGTTAGTTAAATGAGCGTTAAATGTGAGCAAACTAATCAAATAAACAAAAATTTATACATACTTTCGACTAATATAATGAGAATGTGATTGATTAATTAGAATTTTATCCAACTTAAATAAGATATAAATAAATAAAAAGACTCGACATTCTTACTCGCTGATGGTTGGATGATATGTTATTGGTATTAATTTTTCTAAAAATGAAATTCCAACGCAATACACTTACAACCTAGCAATTTTTAAAAAGTATTTAATAATTGTTAATTTGAAAAAGAGCATAACAAAAATTTACACGTACATTCTAATATTGGTTGAGAATACAATTAATTAGTGGATTGTTTTTAAGTGGGCGTCTAAAATATCCAGAACCTACCCGCTATTTATGTGTGGAATTAATAAGACTCGTTAGAATTGTAAAATGCTATTTTGATAAAATTATGATTTAAAGGACAGACTTTAATACTTACAAACTGAATAATTAGGTGGTATATTAAATAATTAATATTTATCAGGATATATTAACTAAGCCTAATAAATTTCAAAACTTACCGTCTACGGTATCGTCACCAAAAAAATAATTACTTAGTAAGAATCATATAGTTGAATAAATTATACAGTATATAATCACAACATGATACTTACGCCCTATTAATATGTCATGTAATTTTAAGTTATTTACGAGAAGATAACTGATAATATAAACCTAAAAAAGTTTACACTTGCCGTCTAATAATTTAGTGCAAGAAAGTGTAAAGTTATTTAGCAATACGTTATTAATATGAAATAAACAATAATTTGGAATACTCCTTTGATACTTACTCTCTATTAATTAATAAGCAAAATATTGGTTATATGGTGATCGAATAAGTAATATAAATAAATAAAGTTTCTCTACTCACATATTACTAATAAAAAGTAATAAGAAAAATTATTTAGATATTAAACAAACGTAACAAACAAACAATAATTATATTAAATAAGATTGATGGTGCAGACTGCCGATTAAACAGAACTCGATGAACATAATACTCACTCCCTGTCAATTAAAATGCAATTATCAGAATGATAATTCATTAATTAATTAATTTAAGTGGACTTAAGGAAATTAATTGGTAATTTTTCTCAAACGTGGTTGTTTAGAAAGCTTAGAACTATGATCTAAACAACGTCGCAACAAAATACTGTACTTACAATCTAATAGTAAATTTTATATAATTAGAAACTTTATGCATATTGCAATAAATATTGTCGAAAGAGAACATCAAAACTTAATACTTACTCATCCCTTGTTTTTATAGATGTGGTCGGTTAGATATGTCGTTGAAAACGAAACTATTGATTTAATATTCATACTCACGATCTAATTATTTTGTGAAATATAATTATTTAGTAACAAATATATATATATATTGGCCAAAATTTGAATTAATTAAACTTTCTAGTGTACTCACTCATTACTAGTTACGTATACGTGATACACGATGTTAGAACAAATTATGGCATACGTTTAATTGATTACAGTAACTAAGAATAATCAACACTTACTCCCTAATACAGTAAAATAATTCAGCAAGAATTATGTTAATGTTAGTCAGAAGACAGTTACTAGAGCAATTGTTAATAAAAATTCTTACCTTCTAAAAATCGATATAATTAGACAAAAGGTTACTTATATCTATATCACAATTTAAGTTCAAAGTAAATTCGTACTCACGGCCTGTTAAAATAATAAGTAATGAGCATTTTTTATGAATTAAGAACGAACATTAAGATATGGATCTATCAAAATCCTGTACCTACCGTCTAAAAATTTAACGTGGGTTTAGAATTTTGAATAATTTGCTTAATGCGGATGTTCAAGGTTTTTATACTTACAAACTAAATAAATTTGTAAATTAATAATTAATAAATGCTATTCAAGAATTAAAATTAATGTTTGAATACTCACAGTCTAAATTATCCGATAAAATATAGCATTAAAAATTGTTCAATGGTTATAAATTGGCAATTTATACTTACACCCTACATAATGTAACTTAAGCGTTAAATATTGAAACTATTGACGCATATAATCTAATATCATTCATACTTACACACTGCCAAATAAATTAACGTGCGATTGATTAGAAAAGTTTCAAGCATTGGTTATTAATCGACTGCGACCTATACTCACCGTCTAATATAACATAAAATGATGTTAATTAAGTTAGAATATTTTGAAATTAAGTGTCAATAAAATATAATTAAAATCATTGCCCACCGTCTAATGATGCGATGAAAATATAAACGGTTAGAAATCATCATATTATTGATTATTCAAAAATAATAACGAGGCTTTTACACTCACTCTCTGAAAAATTAATGTTATGTATTTAATATCAATTGAAGGAAAGGCTTCATTCAAGAGCCATTATTAAATTCAATAAATTATACTTACTCTCTATAATAGAAAAGGGAATGGGTTTGATCAGAAAAAAAATTCGTCATTAAAATTGGATTTATCAACTCATTACATAAAAAATACTCACTCCCTATAATTAGACGTGATTAAATTATTTGTTATCTAATTTCGCCAGTTAACAAACAATATGACAATATACCTACTTCCTATAAATTTAATTCAACAATTTTAGAAAAGCATTAAGTACAGATAAATTATATGTTTGAATAAATATAATAAAACTTGCCATCTAATAATTTATAAGAACGCTTGAATTAATAAAAAGGGTGATACAGTATTAAGTAGGTTACGTACATGAAACCATACATACCGTCTAAATTTAGCACAAATATTGTCAATTGAGAATTAATGGTGATTTAAGTAAATTCAGTAAAGATTTACACTTACAATCTAACAATTTTTCGCAAACGCGGTTAAACGATTAATTGAAGAAGTGTTTATTGATTTGGACAAAGTACTTCAAAGAAAGTTTACTCACTCCCTGTTAATTATAAGCATATATATTAATTAATTAATTAAAATCCTCATTGAAATTCAAGTTTAATAAACTTTTGCACATACCATCTGATTAGATGCAAATATAGTTAACAAAACCTCGTAGTTATTAACGAATTGTTCATTTATTTATTTAACCAAGAAGTTTAAAACTTATACTTACTCGCTATTTGTTCAAATGCAATACATTATTAGAGAGATGCACTTTATTAACAATAACTTAATACAGTAAAAGTTTACTTACGGACTGTTAAACAATAACATTCGTTAGAGTGCGTTATTCAAAGATAACAATATAGGTCTGGTATTATACTCACATTCTAAAAATTGAGAATTATAAACCATTAACAAAGGTTTGTTTTTAACTATGGGATTAATTAATTTCATACTCACTCGCTGTTGATTTAAGGTGAACAGAAATTAGTTAAGGCAGGTCTACCATCAAACTTCAATAAAACTTTACACTCACCCCCTATAAATTTGTATAACAATTATTAATAAATGTTCACTTAGAAATTTATAAATCTGAAGTCAAAAAATTTGTTGTACTCACGATCTGAAGATTTAAACAGGAAAGAACATTTGCTTAATGATTTATTTGAAGTCTTGTTAATTAGAATTTTGGCACTCACCCACTGATAAATTAATTTTATATGAATAGGGTTAGTTCAAGACGTTAAGAACTTTCATTGAATTTCGTGAACTTTATACTTTCCTCCTGTTGGTTAATAGGAATTGAATTAATTGGTGGGATTTTTTAGTTTATAAACACCACGTAATTAATAAAAAATATATATGTATATACTCACAATCTATATGGTTCGATACCAGAGTAAAAATTTTAATAATCTTATCTTGTTACCAAATTATGCAAAAACATTACTTACTCCCTAATTGAAATATACAGTATAATTAAAAAAAAACAATACAGTATTAATTACGAATCATATAATCATGTGACTTATACCCACTTCCTATTGGTTTGATATCCATGTGATTAATTACAGTAAACGAAAGATTTTTTGAATGATCAAACGAATAAAATCATGATTTACTCACAATCTAATTATTTAAGCGAATAAAGAGGGATGCAATTGTTAAAAATTATCCATTATTCTAGTGCAAATGTAAAAATCTCAAACTTACTCTCTGCCGATTTGTATGAATATGTTAATTATTTGTTTTACAGTTATAATATACTGTAAATAGAATTGATTTATCTATCTATACTCACACCCTGTTAATTTGGAATATGTATTATATCAATAACACGTTACTTAAATACAATATAACAAAATAATACGTAGCATGGTACTCACTCCCTACTTTTTGTCGTAATGTATTGATTAAATTTGTGTGATTTTGAATAAATTTAATGGAAAATGGTATTTAAAAACTCTATACACTCACAAGCTAGGATTTTGACAAAAAAATTTGTTAATTCGAGGGAGTAACAGTAAATTGATAAGTTCAAAGTTATTATTCAAACCGTATATATTTTGTTAAATGAATTGAATTAAATTATTTATTAGATTTTATGAAAAATTAGAGAAAAATTAGAGAAAATTTGATAAGCGAATAAACAATATAGAATGCTTGCTATGCGCACATTTTGTCCATAATGTTAATTGTAAGCTAGGCTTCGTGAGATCTTGAAGAAAATTTTTTGTTAGTACGTTAATAAGAGCTTTAAGGATCGAGATCGGGTCTTTATACTTCCTTGGCATGCATGAAGATCTCATATAAAACTAATTTTTGGCCATGAATGAGCGCTGCTCGCTA